GCTGTAAAGACTAAGGCATTAAGTCAAGGTTTGCTTATTTTACATCCCCAGTCCATGTGGTAGGCAGGCCCACAGGTACTGGTACAGCTCCATTCTTACTAGCAGGGGGCAGCACTGTGTTGCCCAAACCATGGCAGTCACAAAAGTCTTTGGCCCTTTAACTAATTCCGTAGCTGATGGCAGGGGGCTACATTTACATTTCAAAGTGAGACTTGCGAAAGCCAGGAATCAACAGACAAATCCTGAAAGGACCAAAAGACCCTAGAAGTGAGAGAGGGGCAAGAGACATGCTGTTGTCAAGGTAACCAAAGAGGGAGAGGGGTATGAATTGCCCATAAAAGCCCAGGCAAAGATGAAGACTGTGGGCCTGCCCTCCCCAGCTCAGTCGACCTGCAGATGCCCCAGAAGAACTTCTGAATGCTTGGCTACAGTCTGTCCTTAGGAGTCCCCAGGGGTTCAGTGGTAGTATCCTTGTCTACCACACAGGAGACCTGGGTCTGATTGCCAGACACTTATACAACTACAGCCATAGAGGCACTAAACATCTGGACTCAGTCTGGTCTTTGGGGTCTGTCTCAGTGGCCTAAAGGGAGGATGAGAAGTTTGGGCAGCCTCCACTCCTCCCAAAATTCCTGTCCAGACATATACATCAAAGGTCTGCATACACCGTGATCCAGAAGGATCGCCGGTTGCCACCAGACTGTCCTTGGGACTATGCAAGACACAGGCAAAGTTTCTGTTGGGTCTTGACTTAAGCTAAGTTGTATGTTGTTGCTTTATCTTATTTTGTTATGGTCTTAGCTTAGGCAAAGTTCTTCAGTTGTTTCTGTCTTACGCTTGAAATTTCTAATTGCTGTACTCAATCAACACTCTTCAGCGAACAGACTATTCTTGTCCAAGCCATTTTTAGGACTTCAGTGCCACCACCTGAATTCTAACATTAAAGTCCAGTAACAACTGGGGTTGCCTGGCCTGCTGCTTTCAGCCAAACTGAACACAGAGGCTTGACTATCACAAGGAATTCAGACCCAACTCCACATGATGCCAACTGCCTTCAACTCTTCCTAATAACCAGGGGAAATGGGTAGGGAAGGGTCAGGACTAGCCCTGGTCTGTCACATTGAACAACTGATGTAAAGTTGTAGGACAGAAAGGTGACAGACTGCAGTGACTAAATGTGAGTAAGGAACTGGATGCTGGTTTCTTGAAAAGGATGTCTAAGCCCTGGGGGCTGCAACATTCAGCAAGGAGCAGGGTGCACAGCTCCTGCTGGAAATCAGAAGGGTCTGAGCACTTACTCCTTCATGTGTTTGATAGTCCCAGGTTGTTTTCAAGGGAAATAGGGGCTGGGGAAAGGGAATCTCTCACTCATTTTGAATGAGGGTCTAGAAGCTGTCCACAGGGCTGACAGAAGAAGCACGAGCAAGGGAAGGGCTAGTGAAGTCTCCAAACTCATTGTCCAGCAATGCAGTAAACAAGCACTCACCCTTCTTTTTCTTCTTCTTTTTCTTTACATCTCCTTGCCTAGAAAGAAAGGAGAAATAACAGCAGTGTCACAAAGGGGTGGCCTGGAATATGTTAGGAAAGACAGCTTGAAATGGGGATGGGAATACCTCTAGGGACGAAGCAAAAGGACACCAGCAAGTCAGAGAAAAATTGCCCTCATTTCCCAGGACAGTGTCTCCAGCTAGTTCCTCTGGAGAACAGAAAGACCCTCTCCTGGACCCCAGGCTCCTGTAGCCCCAACTCCACTTCCCCCACCTCCTTAGCTGTCAACACTCTGCTTTTCAGCCCAGTCATCAAGTGCTCTGCAGAGCTGCCAACAAGAACCTTAATGTGAGGGAACATCTTCCAAATGCTATAGCCTGGATTCTCATCCTTGTCAAGTGCTGCTCACTACTCCGACGCCACACTGCCCCAGCTGCTAACCACTTTTCTCATAGGAATGTCTCTTCAAAGGGTTCATCTGCATCACTGGTGTACCCTACTGCTCCTTCCTGGATCTCCAGGAAGTTGTCAGCCTACTCCCACGGGCAGCCTGCTTCTTCAGCAGCAAGATCAGCTGCAGGAGTCAGCGAGCAGCTCTGTTTAGGCACATTTCTTAGCTAGTGACTGGTGTAATGCAATGCACCCAATAAACACATTCCCCCACCATGTCCCCATCCTGACAGCAAGAAGTTTTACCCTTGCTCCTTCTGTTGGTTCTCGCCTGTGACCTTTCCACCTTTCTTCCGAATGTACGTTGCCCCAGGAGAATTTTCAAGCGCCTCCACATCTACTTTCAAAGACATTGTGTCCGACGAGGGCAAGTGCTTGCTAAAGCTGTTGAGAGGCAGAGTTCAGGAGCACAAATGCAGACAGAAGAAAGCATCAAGTACATCCCAGCAGGTGGGAACTGCTAGGTTTCATGTTTACAGAGAGCACACCAGTGGAGACAACCTCAGACATGGACTTTGGAGACCCGGGTTTTACTCTTGGTTCTGAATGGGCCTGCTGGGTGACCTTGGGCAAATCACTTCACTATCCTGTGCCTCAATTTTCCCATTTTTAAATGGGGGTGATAACAGCCTCCTTTGAAAAATACTTTTAAATATATTGATCAAAAATTCCCTACATATCAACCTTAGCTAGAAGAATCGCCTTCAGGGAATTTAAGCCCAAAGAACGGAGTAGGAAAGTACACCACATTGTTACAGATAACAAGGATATTGCAGGGAAAACAATTGGACTGCTGACTTTTTTTTTGGTCATTCTAGACCAACACTGTTGCTCTCAGAATGGCAGTTTCAAAAGACCTAAATCCCATGAGAAATAACCTGCAGCTAGGTGCCCAAGTCAATCAGATGCTTTCAGGAAGCTCCACCCTTAGTATGGAGCTGCAAATAAACCTCCTCACTTCTCCAGGGGCAGCAGTTATCAAATGGTTCCACCAGAGGGCTCATGAAGCAGATCCAAAGTTCCTAGCACCATTGAAAAAAACTTCAGGAATCTAAAGAGAAAAAGCAAACACCCCCCTCCTGCTGCAGACCTTGCCACTGTCACAGAGGATACACTTTTGCCTTCTCAGGATCGACAAGGGAGTAGGCAGAGATGAGCTGGGCCAAGGTGTGAACATCTTTTGGATTCTGCCTACAAGGAAAAAGAAAGGACCATTCTGAAGTTTACAAAACATCTGGAACATTCTCCTTGCTATGGCCACGGGTCTGGCGGTGCACAAACTACACTCTACCAATGCTGTCACTGTCACAATATCAAACAGAGTGGCGGGAGGAAGAGGCCTCTAGTGTGATGTCCAGGGATTCCACTTCTTTGTCAAGCACTTCAACCGGCCTCTCACCAGGGAGTGAGCCTCCAAAAAGGACCTGACATATGGGACCTGTTTAATTATCCCTACTGTACAGCATTCTCTCATGGATTTTTTTAAATTGGTACCTTTTTTTAAAAAAGAAAAATAGTTCTTAGGAAAGCCTTCTGACACCATATAAAGAAAATAAAATGACCCTGCTCCCCAGGGTGAACTAGAAAACCAGCTGTAAACTAGTCACCCAAATGCTCTCCCTTCACATATGGAAAGGGATCAGTCCAAAGCAGCAGTGGACCAATCAGAAGTTTCAATGTGGCAAAGACTTCATTGGGAGCAGCTGCTTGCCTCCATGCTGGCTATGGTATTCTTTAAGAATGACAATTCCTTCTGGGAAAGATACAGATGAGTCCTTCTGCGTGTTACCAGATGCTCCCACAGACTGCAGTGCTAACCCTATGGCTGTAGTTAGTTACTCTGCCAAACTCTGGCTCCATCATGTTGCCAAGAACAGAGGCAGAGAGCATGGCATAGAACAGAAGTCCCTTTGCAAGTATCTAACCACCAGAAGCCCTAGGCCATCCTCACAGGCATCACACCTGCACAGCTTGAATCCAGAAACAGAGCAAGACACCCCTTCCTCCAGCCATACTACAGACTCACTTCCACAGCTCCTCCAGGTCACTGATGGCTTCCTTCTTTCTCCCATGTTTCAGCTTGAAGTTGGCTGCTTCCCGTATGAGCAACAGGTGAACTGAAGACTTTGGCTGAAAGCAATAATAGTTTTTTAATTAGGAGATGCTCACCAGCACTGAGCAAAGCTGATGATCCTGCTGCTTTGTCTCTTCGGTGCACTGGAGACCAGCTCAGACCACAGGACCAATTAATGTCTACTGCCCAGTGACATGGAAGATACCAGAACTAGCACAATCATGGCTTTAAGCCAGTAGCACTTAACCTTTCTCGCTGACAAGCTGGATTGGCAGTGCCCAAGCCAGATCGGCTTGCGGTCCCAATCTAGCAGAGCGTAGTCACAGCAGGGCCCCATCTGGCTGCATGGAAGACAGGAGATATCCCCATGGGGGATGGGGGCCGGGTTGTGGCCCAGACTCAGCCTGACTCCACTAGCACAGACCCATCCGCACAGCCCCAATCTGCTGTGCAGGACTTGGGATTCTATAGCGAGGGAAAGGGGACGTATTTTTTGTCAAATTTCCTGATCTGTGGGCCTTATACCTATGGCTTGGCAGACCACATTTGGCCCACGTGCTGGAAGTTCAAGCCACTACCCACTGCACAGGGACATTAGGGGGGGATCCTGCAACTGAGTCCTGCCCAACTCTGCCTTCTCCTTGCTACTTAGCACTGGGGACACGCATTGCCCTGGTCCCTGCACATCTAGAGTACAAGGGGCATAACAGTGTCCCTGGCTCTGACGCAAGCTCTGTACACCCTCAGCCCTTCACTCCCTTGCATTAGAGCTGCCGTGATGCGTGAACCAGCCTTCTGCTTGGAGACACCATCTACAAAGCAGCAGGTCCCCACACCTCTACCTTGTTAATACAGCAGCCTATGCCATTACTGACAGCTGCCCATCAAAACCAGAGGTGGGGATGGCAGGCTTCAGCAGGATTCAATAATCCCAGCAAGGTAACATCCATTTACCGCTCTGTCACCTCTGCATGTCAGCCATTTCCTCAGGGCCTGACGACTTGGCCTTTGGGCCAAATTTGCAGACAGGTGCATTTGGAAAAGCTCAGGGTCCTTGCAGGAAGGAAAAAGACAAGAAAGAGGGATGCAGCCAGTTGGTGCTGCAGCAGAACAGTTTCCATGGGACTCAAGTACTCTAATTACTCCTGGCAATTAACTACATGCCAAAATAAGTGCTACATCCTGTTCCTCCAAGACACATACTGGTCAGACACTGGATGAGATTACTACTGTCAGCCCAGAGGAATGAACCTGATCATTCCTAAGACTCATTTAAAAGCAAAAACAAGCAGGCTGGTGAGCATGTATTTGACCACCAGCCCTGAAGCTCTTCAAATAAACACCAAGAGACAAATGACTGCATTATTACAAGGAAAGAAGAAATTCTGCACAGTCCCCCCTGCCAGCTCTACACCCCTCGTAAGCCAGCAGGCACCAGAAGGGCTGGTAAATAGTCTACCATTTCCTCCCTATGGCAGGTTTACCATTGGCCTGTGATAAACCTAATGCCAGAAGCATTTCACATGGATGAGGAGCAGAGAAGCTCTCTAATCCCCCAGCCTCAACAGATGGGGTTAGCGCTTGGCAAGGACAAGCTGGAACCAAAGCGTTCCTCTCCTGTTGAGGTGTACTGGAAGGAGGTAGGAGCTGGTGAGGAACAGCTGGACCCAAACCAGCTGGCAACCAGCCAAGGCAACTCAAGTTTTTACATGCCATCTTTCCTGCTCTGCTTACCTGGAATTGCTGGTACCACTGGATAGCTTGTGTGAAGACCTCAATTGCACTGTCAATATCTTCTTCATGACTATACATCGTCACTAATGCAGACACCTGCAAATATCAAAGAACAGCTTGAAAGCCAGGATTTTAGTCACCTTGTTGCCAACTGAATGGAGTTTATTTACATTTATTTTTAGCACTTGTCACCTTAGGATGCTGACAGCTTGCGACACTGGTCTGCCTGAGGGACACAAGAGCACAGAATTAAGGGATGGTTAATGCAATTGTGCTACCCCCTCAGAAAGGATAGGGAGTATTCAGGTGCAAGCCCAATGGTGCTAGTGCCCAAACAGACATCTTCTGGGAAGTACCACCCCAGAGGAGTGTTGGAGGTTACCATAGTACAAATCCCTCCAACACTGTCTCCCTGGCCTTTCCATTAGAATGTGCACATGTGGCAGGGAGTAAGAAATGCACAATTAGAGGGTGAGCTAAAAAAAATCATTAAAGAACAAAAGAATCAAGTGAAGCACTGCTATAGGGGAGTTCCAAAAGCAGCAACAAACCCATTTGCAATACTTCTACTCTACAGTTCCTGAAGTCCCAACCAGGATGTCACTGTAAAGGCCAGGACAGCCTAATTTGGTGCTTAGCAGAGTATCTGAATAAAAACCCCTCCCCCCCCAACCACAACTGCCCCATTTTTCCAGCAGTTAGGTTGACGGTTAGGATACAAGAACTATGTCATCACCATGGAAACAACAAATATTACAAAAGCATGATGACTTTATTGCACAAAGAATGGAAGAGGAGATCACATACTGTGAAGAACTTTTGTACTGTTACTAAAACCACAACAGCAGCTTTGACTGATAAATATGAGCAGAACAGTAACATGAGGGTACACATTTGCTTAGTATTTATTCTTTGGGTAAGTTGCCTGCCAGATTTCTTTCTTTTGTTGTAAACATATGAAAATCTTCAAGTCAATCCCCTTGAAAGGAGCTTGTATCTGTATGGCAAGGGGACAAGATACTGAATCCCAGAAGCTAAGGCCAAGGTGCCTACAGAATGCTTTGAGCATCATACAGACCTGAAGAGTCATGTTTTACTGGCTCGCTCCACCTTGCTTCCAGCTACTGGTTAAGCATGAAGGCATTTTGAAGCTCCTCTTTAATAAATTCTTAACATTATTTCCCAGGCAAATAGCTGGCCTAGGATATTATCCAAGTGCAGTTGAAATACAAGAGGGGTCTGAGCAGCTGTGACCAGGAAGGATGGTAGTTCATAGCCTCTGGCAATCATTAATGTAAGCTGCTACCCTTTGGCTGGCCAGCTGTGTCCAGGATAAACAAGATGGTTCCAAGTTCTAAAATCTACTGAGGTATAATGCTATGCATGAAAAGTCTGCAAGCAAGCATCACTGCAGGCAGAGGAGTGAGCCAAGACAGACAGCACACATCAAGGGCAGAACTGAGCCTTGAGAACCAGCAGGAAGGGGACAACAGGAACAGAGAAAGGCTCCTGACATAAGGGCATTGTGACAGTGCATGTCTGGGCACACAGTAACAGCTACTCACCATGCCTGGCTTGTGCTGCAACTCCTCTATGCTCTTCAGGATGATGCAGGCTTTTGTGACGCTACCTTAAAGAAAGAAGTGTACCTTCAGCTGTACAGCAATGCTTTCCTTGCTCTGCTGCTTCTCCACCCTGGACCTGCTTTCCCTACCTCTGCCTAGAAACATCCGAGTAGATGATGGTCGGGATGGGGGAGGTGCTGAGGAGAATCATGACATGCTACACCCTCCCCATTCCCCACCTAGTGAGGAAGCTCTCCACTACAGCTGCTCAGATGACTCCAATTACCAGCTATTAGCAGGGAAGTGACAAATCTCAGCAGTGTCTCACTCTTCTAGCATTGAGCAGAGCACAGTTCTGGGCTCCACATGCCCAACGGATGGCAGGCAGCTGGCCCATCCAAGGGGCTCCTTCCTGTTTAAGCCTAAATACAGGCGCTTGTGGGCAGTACTGTATGTGCAGGCTCACAGCAGAGGCAGGAAAATAAAGAGCTGGGTGGCTTCTACAAAAAGTCAGAACAACCCTGCATGGTAGGATCCACAACCGTGGCCTGACTTGCGTTACACCACCTGCTTCAACAGGTATAAAATCAGACCAACACAGGGTAATTCTGAAGCCTCCTCAAACCATATTAGGCCAGACTGTTTCCTTGTGTACATCACAGAGTCCCACTAACTACAGGCAGCTTTGCCAATTAGCCAGGGAGCATAATGCTGGCACTCTGGACAAAGAGACACTAAACCTATGCCAAACATTGTGTGGGACAGTGCATAAGTGAGGGTGAGGGGAAGGAGTGGGAACTTGAGCAATATTCAGTCAGCAGCAGTAGCATGCAGTACACTAATCTTACAGCTTTGCCTGCCGGAGCAGTCGCAAGAGAATGGAAGAACCACCCCCTTTGCTTAGCACACACCCTGCACACGTTGAACCTGCCAAATTAGACCTTGGATTACTAGCATCCTGCCCTCACTTTCTTCTGTTAGTCTGAAGCACCCACAATAGTTCATCTTCCAAGATCCTGAAGGACCAATACTAGCAGTGCCCAAAACCATGCTCTGTTAGCTTCCTAGGACCCTGGCTTCAGGGTGGAAGTGTTCTAGGAGTATCTATGCCAAGCTCTCACCTAGCAGCATGCTCCATGCCATGTTTACTAGGAGACTCCATGCCACTATGGTAGTGCATGGGCTGTCACTGTAGCATCATGGATTCACCTGGCCAGCCTAGTTACCCCTGTAGAGCACTACAAATCACTGTGGTGTAAATATACCTTCAAACTGTGTCCTCAGACACAGGGCAAATAGAAAGGCAAGCATTTCCCAACACAAAAAAGGTGCCTCGTACCTTGAGCAATTTTCAGCTGTGCCATTGTAAGCTTGATCTCTACTGCACTGGCAGGATGTTGATCTGCAAAATCCTGAGGCAGAAACAAAAGAACGCATGACCATGTTCACAGGCACCAAGTAACAACTGCAGCTTGTCCTGTTTTAAAACTAGTCTCCAAAAGAATGCCTGACTGCAACTGTTGGGGGTGGGAAGTTTGGAGAAGGGTAATATTCGTCGCAGCACCATCTCCAAGCAAGCTCTGTGTTAAAGGAGCATCACTCATAGCAAAATACTGCCCAGACTGGCCTCAGGAGTCCTCTCACTCAAGTATGTGCAAGTCTCTTAGATGCTATTACCCACTCAGCAGCTGATGACCACAGTGCTCCAAGGTGCTGCCTGTCACAATAGCCAAGACCTTATTTAAGTTTCCACATTTAAGGTGCATGTTTCATAAGTTGCATGGACATTATTTAAAATTGGCTACAATCAATTAGGAGACAGTGTATGCTAAACTGAAAGAAGACACTCTTAAGCCAAACCAGATATTGTCCACCCAGCCAGTTTAAATGCCAGTTAAAATTAAAGCTGAGTTTTTGGTTGTAGTCGTGCTGGTCTAACGACAAAGTTTTTAGCAAGCTTCCGGGCACAGTCACCCTTCTTCAGGCATAGGGAGCCAAAAGCTTGTTAAAAACATATTCCAAGTACCCAGTTGGTCTAATAAGAGATATCATATCTATTCAAAGAACCTTGCCAGTTACATTAAATTGGCACAACTTTGTCACGTAGGCCACTAGCCAGAAGGAATGGAAAGTGGATGTGGACTCCACACCATGGGCACAGCTATGGCGACGACCTGGTAAGGGGTCTCCAGGTTCTTGACCACCTGGGTGATAGCTATCATCGCTTGCTGGAATTCACCATTCAGCGCAGGGTGTCAAGGGCCTGCAGCAAGGCGGTAGCCCTAGACTTCAAGAGGGCCAACTTCAACAAGTTGAGATTAGTGGTAGAGGCGCTGGGGTTCTCGAGAGCAGGGGAACTCAGTGCCCAAGATGAGTGGTCGTTCCTTAAGGAGACGATACTCAGGGCCCAAGGGGTGACCATCCCAACAAGAAGCAAGGGGGGCAGGAGTGCCTGAAAGCCCCCCTGACTCACCAAAGGTGTACAGGAATGCCTGATTGCCAAAAAGGCAGCGTACAACCGGTGGAAGGGGGTGCTATCTCCAAAGAGAAGTATACCTCCTCTGCTTGGGCCTGTAGGGGGGCTGTCAGGAAAGCTAAGGCAGACACAGAGCTAGGACTTGAGTCCGAAATCAAAGATAATAAAAAGTCCTTTTTCAAAAATATAGGGAGGATGAAGAAAGCATTGGGAAATGTGGGGCCCATGCAAAATCCTCTGGGCAATCTGGTGGTTGCACCAGAGGAGAAAACAGACCTCTTTAACCAATTCTTCACCTCTGTTTTCTTGTGCAGGGACCAGGACTTCCCAACATGATGCAAGACTAACTTGAGGGGACCGCCTCCAGACCTCAGGTTGGGGAAGACTGGTTTAGAGAGCTTCTGGAGGGGCTGGATGTGTTCAAATCAGTGGGTCCAGATGCTCTCCACCCCAGGGTGTTGAGGGAGCTAGCAGGGGTTATTGCAGGGCCCTTG